CGAATTCTAACACACTCTTTAGTCCATGGCACTGCACTGTGTGTATGGGCAAGGAACCCCCCACTATTGACCTCGAATGCAAATGTTAAAACCTTGTCTTGCAATAGATTATTTCTGAGAGACTACAGTAGTAGATGTATTTCTATATACGTTAATAACGTTTTACGTCGTCAGCCCGAGAGTAATTTGGGACTTGTTCTCAAATTAATATAAGTATAGGTGAGTCAGCCCGAGAGAACGTAAGAGTAATTTGAGACTTCTTCTCAGATTATTCTATTTATAGAATACGGACCACCGGCTAGCCGAGAGCCGAGGTCCGATACTGAGTGTAGTAACAGAGAATATGATGTGTTTATTTCTGGAAAGTATATCCGAGTGCTAAAGTGTTCTGCATAAGGTTTCTCATACTGATCATATGAGTTTTTACCCTGGCCAACCCAAGTGGTTGAACACTAGTACAAACACCATCAGTATATAACTGAGGGTGAGATCATAAATAAATTCATCCGAATGCACCATACTTTTGATACACCAGCACTTCACTATTAGTCCCCCACACCGCACGCTAACAACTTATCAGGTCCGTCTACTCTCGTGCTACCAACCTATACTACTTCCCAGCAACTCAGCCAGCCTAGCTAACCAGCCCAGCTCAGCCCAGCCCAGCCCAGCTCAGCCAGCATAGCCAGCCAGCATAGCCAGCCAGCCAGCCAGCACAGTTCAGTCCAGCCCAGCTCAGCCAGCCCAGCTCAGCCCAGCTCAGCTCAGTTCAGCACAGAGAAAGACCTCCCAGATACAGATTAAATAGAAAGTACACTATATAAAATAAGCACGAGCAGTCTAATAAATGATTTATATACGTCTCTGTGCGTGTTTTTAGCGACAGCAGTTGATTACATTACAAAAGAACACTGGATAATATACATGATGTATTCCAACTGGAAATATGAGTCTATTCTTTGAAAAGAATTGATGCTATTATTAATATTATGGGTGTACGTAAACTTAGAATATATCAGATTCTTATTTGTATGAGCCCGTTCTGCAGTAGAGTGCTTTTAAAAGACGCACAAAGATTGAAATTAAAGTGATGTTGCATATTAACGAGTCCAAAAATTTATTTCGGGCTGCAAGTGTTGGCGTTGTTTCGCTTGAGGGGTCACTCAATACATTGCAGAAAAGTATTTGAACCACATTTACTTGTATTGGTAACATGTGCCAGAATCAGTACACCACTCACAATATACAAGTGGATAAACAGACTATCAAGCTAGCGTGATTCAGTTTAGGAGAGTTATTATTTTTAGCTCCAACGGTTGTGTTACAGACACCGATTTGATGTCAAAATTCCGTACACGGCTCAATCTCATAAATTGTGAGTAATTTACAGACCGAGTACGCTTGTTGCATTGCTCAAAGTAACAGGGATATTTTTCTTTATTGTAACATAGCAGAGCTCATGAGTTCTACCATATATATAAAATGTGACCCAACCACATCTCTACACACACTAACACTATTGCTGTGAAAATTTAGTTTAAATGGGGTTAAAAAACAGTTGATGCACGGTTCAATCTCATAGACTGGTCTGTTTACAGAAAGAACACGCTTGTTGCATTGCACAAACGAATCATGTAGTCAAAACCAAGTGACACTAGAGAGTGTTAAGTCTGAAATAAGTGAACTTAGTCAGAAGTGCCGTTGTGAACGGCGCGTCTGCTGTATTTATTAATCATGTTCCTATGTGGGACGAGATTTTCTCTAACAACGGCAGATTGTGAAAATCACCGTATCTAAGATTATGATCTCCTAGTTACTACATAATGATGACATCCGATGAGTCATTATTCTTTCTCACTAAACTAATATTCTACTATCTAGTCCGGTCCTCAGGTCCGTTCCTCAATAAAATCCTCTTAGGCCCGAGCCCCTGGTTCGGTCCTACATTATTTCCCTTAGGTCTGGTCCTCTGGTCCGGTCCTAAATTCCTCTTGTCAGTCCGGATTCTGGTCCGGTCCTATATCTCCGTCTACGGTACTTTGTCCACAAACAGTAGACATCATGAAATTTGGTACAAAATCTGGCATCAAACCGCATCCCTACACAAACAAACGCTATCGCAGTGCAAATATAGTTTTAAAAGTTCTAACAATTATATGGTTCAATCTCATAAACTGGGGTAATTGCAAACTGAAAGCATATATGGAGGTGTATGTTTCGTGAACACAGACAACCTCATCCTGGCATGTCGATCAATGGATGTTCTTTACACCACTGGCAGCGGTTCATGAGAACATCATCAAGTCTTGCCCTTACTTCTCGTGCCTTCGCTCTTAAAAACTGTTAAAAATAATGCATGGTAGTCATACTAACTTTATGATAGTGTAGCGCAAGTGACCTATAAAAGATATTTTGGGTCTGATTTTCCGCCGCACTCACAGCGTTTCGACTTTCTACTTACAAACGTTTTAAAAAGCAAACAAACGAATAAAATAGAATGGGGGGCTCAAAGAATGTATATGTGAACTTGCCGAATTCCGTGTCCAGTGTACATCCATTGTTATAATAATATTTGTCTCGTGTACTTAGGCGCCAGTATTTGTGCAAACTTACCATAAAACAGCAAATGAAAGTCAATTCATTTAATCGTACATGCTTATCTACGCATCTTATTTGTCAACGATCACCAAGATATAGGATGCAGTTTGAAGATATTTGACTAAACTATTCTCAACATGACCAGGACAAAGCCGCAATGCAGAAACTCGATAAACTTTACATCTGCAATGGTGACCTCATAATCATTTAGATGTGTTCTGTCAGGAGAACCCTTATTAGCAGCTTCAATGCGATATGCTCGTCGGGAGCACCAGCTCCTGATAACCTGATTCGTTTTGATATGTACGAAACTCTGTGAATCCGTTATCCGTTTGCTAGTAATAAAAAAAGGCTACCAATGTATCTGGCATCTCGCGTGCACTGGTGTATCACATTGTTTCATGCCGTATGCAAACCTTCAACCTTTATTTTCATTGGAACGTCTGTCGCTACATCGACAACTACTGTCATGGTCTTATGACGCGTCTGCTGGCGTTCAAAGGAGCGCGTCGACATGGATCAATTGAGTGACAACTTAGTAACGCATGTTAACAGGGAAACCTATCGTCGACTATTTGTTGAGCTGACGTCAGATACAGTGGGATTTTATTGTGGGCTTAAACACTGCGTGTGTGTTGCCCTAGTTCGTGCGTTGAGTGCTGAGTGATGACGGGATAGCACTTCAGATGTCAGTACTGCGGGTCTGGCAAACAATTTCCCTCCTCCTCCTCGAAACGGGCGCACTGTGATGGGTGGAAGACAAAAAAAACGTAGAGTCGAAATTGTGTCAAACAAATCAATTTTTTACTAGTTCGTCTGGATGCGATAGACTACATTGAGATGATTCCATTGCTTCGGTACTGCAAGATGCATGAGTATTTTAGCTAAAGCAATTTTATGGGCATAGTAGCAGACTGAGAGAAGTTATTTTCTCATTCTCACCTAGACACCCATACTCGGCAGCAATGTATCCGGCTATCAATGGTTCGCTCATCGTCACGATTTGCGAATGTGATCATGTAGTCGCGAAGATCGTGTTAGATCAAACAGTAGCAAATTACCGAGAAATTGTCGTTTCTCCTTTCAAAGCTTTAAATCATGAGTGGACTAAGCGAGTGTAAATGATCGCAATCGTTTATTTTTATTAAATCGGATAATTGTTTATAACTTGCACATATGCTTGTTTTTTTAGCCCCGGCTACCGAGCTCATTGCAGAAATAAAATACTATATGATCGTTATTAGTGTATTTGAGGTGTCACATGTCACCGTATACATTAATTATTGAAGGTCCAGACTGTACATTTCAGCACCAAGTAATTGGAAGGTAGGCTACACGAAGACCGTTACCCAGGCAGTGGCAACAAAATGTAAAATCGCTTTTGATTCTCTGGTACTATCAGCATATGGAGCTTTATATTTCTGCTGATAAACCATCAGACCCTGGAGCTGTCTAAAACAAGGCTAGGAGGTCCCCGGCGACTTTACATCTACAAAGCTATGCTTACATGTGCTTGTGCTAGTTCGAATAGAGTTGTTGCGTCGTATTGCATGGTAGGGAACAACGCTCGCGCCGTGTGCCACTCACTGCGTAAAATTGCACCTGATATTGGTGTTTTCTATGCCTGAGATTAAATCACATGTTATGTGTACATCGTTTGTAACCTCTGTCTCTGTCAGAAGACAAAGTAAGCTTAGCATTTCTGGGATTGGGCTCGTTTTGAGGGCAATGACAGCTACTGTGCCATAGTTCTGAAAGTATTGCAACGGCGTGTTGTCCCCGACATAGGAGTCCAATATATAGCAGCAGCGTATACTACTGTAAGAAGATCAAAGGCAGTGATTGAGAATAGTGCGGTAATATGTCCTGTCTTGTGATGATAGTGCTTCTTATAGTGCTTTTGCCAATTGTGGAAGAACCATTGACCAGTAGAAAAATAACCACCGCCGCCGCCTCCCTTTACTGTAGTACATGCGTCCACAGCAACAGTGAGGTTTTCAAAACGAGGGCGGGGAAGGAGGGCTGTCCCTGACTAGCTCTGAACCATAATTGACCATAATTGCATATCCTGCCAAACTTCGGATGGGATGCGAATGGGTGTGGCGCAAGAGTCAAAACAGGCTGTGGTCAAAACCGAGTAATGCTTAGTAAAGAGTGCTAAGTCTGAAATAAGTGAACTCAGTCAGAAGTGCCATTGGGAATGGCGCTACTGCTATATTTATTAATCACGATCCTATGCGGAACGAGATTTGCCTTTTTTTGGTGTAGACAGCAGTGAGACTCCCAGCTATCGCTCAAAAGTGGACAACCCCGCAAAAGTGAGCCCCAAAAAACGTCCGACCCCACCAGCTTCTCTGCTCCTACTGCAGCCGCCAGTACCCACACACCTTTTGACGAAAGTGATGGGCCGCCCGTTGCCGGACAAAACTCTTGACGAAATGGATGTCATAGCTCCGGTATGGCTCTTTTTCCGGGCAATTTTCCCTAACGACAAGCCCCCATCACAATCAGTATTTGAAAAATACTGGCACGCCCAACCACTCCTCGATCGCCACCATTTTCTCTGGTATCTTCCGTCTAAACCGGCCTCTCAACCACACCGCTGCGGGAGCTCCACCAGTGTCGTCCGCCTTTGCGTTCCTAGCGACGCTGTCGCCCAGGTAAAACGACATGCAACACTTACGTGGAAATATCAATTTGATAAAACCATCGACCCCCGCTCCCAACAACATCCCGACACTACGAAAACAGCTTTAATCCACTATCTCCGCACCAAGCTGAAGGCCCGCTGCACACAAGAACGAGCGCCAAAAATTCTTGCCCGCAACATGGATGCACTACTGAGCCTCCTTGTCGACTCCACTAACGCAGACATCCTCCTAACCCGCGAATACCGGCAAACGCTAAAGAACCAGCGCGTGAGCAGCCCGAACGACTCCACGCACCAACGGCGTTCCCGACAAAATACCAATACGCAGCCTCAACCTTCCACGACAGACTCTTCGACGACAGGAAACAATATAGGAGTGGCTGACATTAATAAAGAAAAGAGCCCAGTAGTGTTGACCGATGATAAACAATGTTAGGACCCATGAGAATGACGCTCTTCAACCCACACGGACTCAACATGGACAACGCAGCACATACAGATGAGTGTTTGAACGGTATATCGATTCTGAGTCAGGTTGATATTATGTGTGTGGTTGAAACCTGACCTAACACCACATGCCGTGCAGTGTAATGTAGAATATGGTAGTGTGGTATTGGCATCTTGTCCAAACACCACTCATCGAAATTCAACCTTTACATTCCTCACCGACGAGGTGTTCTTTGTGTGCTTTGGCATTCATATGGCCGTGTTCTGCCTCCCACTCAAATCACTTACCGAAGAAGACGTCAGGCGATACATGAATCCCCCCGAGATTGGCAATTTCCAACCAGATGTTGTTTGGGGGGGCCTTCAACTTCAAAGCCCGGAAGTATGGCCACGCATCTACAAGTCACGGACTACGTATGAACACGATCGAGACTACCCTGCGTAATACGTGGCACTTGGACTACCTCTATTCTTCGGCTCAACTGGTACAGAACATGCGTACCACCGGCCTACCACCCCCGCCTCCCTCTAGACCTATAAGCTGCCGGACTACGGTATCTGTGGTGACCACACTTTTGGACTCGATCTTCAGTTACTTCCAACAGAACAAATCCATCGGCGCCAACAAATGCCGACAATGCTGCCGCCTCCGGACCAACCGATACCGCCATCGAATGTACCACCTACGCAACCAATCCCGCGCGCGACTATTCCAAGCCGAAATCCGGACGCATCAGAACCTACTACGGTCGTATCTCACTTTGTACGGACCAGCGGAAGGGCTGCTACGAATCCTCGACCTGTAGAAATACGGCCTCCGGTCAGTCTAAAATATCAAAATCAAATGAGATAACACATTGGTTTTATTTGTATTTAAAATAATTTGATACAAGTTCTTTTTCCAATATTTTCAAAGTGTTCTAAATTCACTTTGATGGCTCCAATAGCCTGAGTATTTGGTATGACTCATTTACGTGGACCTATTTGAGACGATAGTAGATGTAGAATATTATAAACTAGATTTTATAATCTCTGAACTACTACTTACAGGTTTTGGTTTTCCCGCCAATCTCTAAGTCTTTTTCTTTTTTTAACTTTTCTTTAGATGGAACTTTATTTATATTAGCTAATGTATTAACTTGACTTACGTTCTTATGTCTATCTACAAATTAGACATGTGGTCATGAACACTTAGTACTTCTAGTGAAAATTATTCCATAAAAAACAGCTAGAGGTACGTCCTGTGTGATCGAGGATATTAAGGCTCTTACCAAGAGGCAGTCCCGATCATTCTTACACAAGCTACCACTAAATCCTAACTGACTTAAACTGTATCTCAGTTTATATAACATAGTTTAAAACATAGAAATATCCATCGAAGTTTACGTATTTTTCAGTTATTTAGTAGTTACCGTAGTGTACTGCTTCTAGACTGTCCAACAATTGCTTACTATCCACCGACAGGACTGTAAGTATTCTATACTACCTCATAGTGGCCAATACTACCCTAAAGTTAGCTACACGCTAGTCACTATACCTACACTTTATTAATTTTCCTATTCTTGAGCTATCGCTTTGGCTAAAGGAAATTCTAAAGGCAAGGGAGCCGCCAGCCCTAAGCCTGCTAAGCCTATTGAGGTTCCTGAGGTAACTGGGGACGCTGGTCCGTCTGGTACTGAGCCTGCCGTTGAAGCTGTAGAGGAAGCCGTTTCTGAGCTTGGTTCTGAGGAAAACTTTGATGATGACTCGTCGGATTCTAAAGCCTTGGAAGTGGAGGTCTCAACTACCGCGGAAAGGCTCGCCAGCGTCCGTGTGTCTCCTAGTAGTGCAGCCCAGGGCCTCAGCTCGCCATCTGACCGCGAAAAGTCAGATATTGGAAAGGTTATATCTCCTGAACAAGTGTAGGAATCGTCTCGAGATCGACGGTTTATTACTACTAAAAATCAGCTCAATCCACCTATTAAAAAAGACGGTGGCGTTCCATTTCGTGAAATTTCATTGAATGCCTCGCCACTGAATGCCTCGCCACTGAATGTTGGGGCGGAAAACGCAAATGTTGGGGACGCCATAACTCGACAATGAGTGGTTGGATCTTCTCAATCTCGACGCCATTTGAACCGCAAAGATAAGCTTTTAAAGGAGCTAGCCGCTGCCGCAGCTTCTGACCCTTAGATCATATTCCACGTGGCCGATATTCTTCCTATACCAAAGAAAAAAATATTCCGAGCCGGGTTTCAAACCTGGGACGCACTGGTTTACCAGCCAGCAGGGTTACCATTTCTCAAAATTTAATCTCGATAGCTCGGAAGCTACAATCGGCCATCCTCTCGACAAACCTAACCCTGTCAGGGTCTATGATCGTATGGAAATCGATGAGGCTTCTAACCCACCTTGGCAACTTATCGCTCAGTTGTTAAATTATGTTAATATTGCTAAATCTACCATTATGCTGTGTTGTCCCTTACGTAGCTCGGACCCATGAATACGTGATTTAATTAATATGATACAAGACGAACCTATCTATGTCGACCGTGAAACCGACACGTTCTTGTATCAAGGATCCTATTCTAATTAATAAGACACCTTGGAAACACACCATCGTTTGTCTCATCGGTCCTGCAGATACCACTAAGTGGAAACCCTCAACCGAGTTCTTATCTAAACTAGAAGAGTCTAAAGAGTTTGAACAAAAGCTCAAGAC